CGAGCCATGACAAACTAGGAAGACTGTCATGACTCTTTCTCTCTCAGCTAAAACCGCGGTCATGCTCTGCGACTGGCCGATGTCAGACTTTGCGATTGGAGCGATTTTGCACCAATTGCAGGAGCGACGGATCGCTCCAGCGATGCGAGCGACGGGAGATTTACCCCGCCGACACCGATACACACGGCGCCGCTCGGGTAAATCTCCCGTCGCTCGCATCTTTGAGCGATCCGTCGCTCCTGCAATTGGTGCAAAATCGCTCCAATCGCAAAGTCTGACATCGGCCACTCCCCTACATTTCGTTTGCGGTTAGAGCGTGTAGTCGATACAGTTGTGTTCGCACGGCTAGTAATCTCCAACTATGAACTCGGCGTAACATCTCGGTTCGATCTACTTGTTTCCACAAAGTAGTTTCCCCGCTATCGGTGAAAGTAGTTCTAGAAATCAATGCAAAGCTAGAGACCATACCTGAAATTGATGCTACATCCAAATATTTGAAACTTCGTCGATAATCACAAGACTGTTCACACGAAGTCCTTTTGTAACAATCATACGGTACTGCATCTAGTACCCTTCCTTGGTGTCCATTTTCAAAAGCTGTACACGAAATGGGAGGTTATAATAATGTGTCGTAAATGCAGTGTGCGCTAGGTTCGAATTTGGAAACCAGAAGGTAGAAAGGAGTGTTGGTACTTATTTCACTACTGGTTTCAGGCCCAAACAAGCTTTGGCTGGATTGCGAAAAGCGGCTGATCTCATTTCGCATGGCGATACAATTGAACGATGTATCCGTTCTACCGGTACCTGGAAACTGCTGAATGAACAGGTACAAACTCATTTAAATAATTCACTAGTATGTCTGTGGATTTGCTAAACTTGTAACCGATTTTTGTTTTTTCTACTGATGAATGAAATTTCTAGGCAATGCTAGGTTGCGCACTGCCATCCATTGCCGTGGATGCACATCTGCGAGCGATGATTCAGTTCCCAGCATGGTTGGGCAAGAATTCAACTGCTAACAAACGGCAACGTCTCTTGAAGCAGCTAGCCATGCATACACACCTGAAGTGAGTGAAGAGCGGCCGTTTAACCCATCTTGCATTCCTTTTTGTTCTCGATACAACTTTCCCACCCAAATAGTGGACTTGCTCGTCCAAGTCCTTACTCAATCTCTTCTGTTGGCATGTCGATGTAGACTTTTCGCTTTTCAGGATCTCAGCTGATAACTATTCACTAGTTGCTGACTATGTGCCTGTATTGCGCGACTGTCTTACGAAACCGCTTCTGGAAAGGGAAACGGATGGAGTTTTGTATGTTTCTTGTTTCTCGTTATTGTTACTGAAATTTGAAGGGTGCTCGCTTTGGAGCGGTGTAATACGAAAGCGAAAAAAGCATATAATGAGCTTTTTAGTGAGGTGGTGTGCACAATGAATGATTACGATTTGATACGAGAAGACACTGAAGCCGGTATCAGAGTTGGCAGTATGGCCAGGAAAAATAGATCCAGCCAGCAAAATTCTCCCTAAGGTGAGATTTCAATTCTCCTGCACTGGTGCAAGACAAAATCACAGTCTGACGGTTAAGAGGAAAAAGAGCTGTTAAGACTGATAGATGCCTCAGTGTGTACGCATCATACGATTCTCATTTCTTTCCTTTCGGTTGCACTCCTTTCGTTTCAGGTTAAAGCAGCCCTAACGAGAGCCCTAAATAAGGAATATCGAACATTACCCTATGCAACTGATGATATTGGGAAGACACGTAGGAAAGCTCAGCAAGTTGAATACGGTAATATTTAAGTACACTATTTTTTGTTCTATTTCGAAAACTCGTTCCATTTCAAGAACACACAGGCGGTGAGGTTGCCTTTTAAATTGCCCGTTTTCTGAGTCTCTTAAACCATCCGAAAAGTGGATGGTCTTTAAATTTCATCACTCGCCACAAACGGTTGGGGTTCTCATGGGTTATTGCTTGCCCTGCTCAACCCTATTGTACTCGTTTTGTTACTGCGCCTGAGGCCACGGTCTGTTCAAGGATCATATCCTATGCTCCTATCTTCTCATCCGAAAATGAGGTGGGATGATGTTTGTCCGCATACAACTTCAACTTTACTCCGGTGATTAGCTTACCATCCAGTTGTATGCGCTCAGATAAGGTGATTTGTGTTTGTCCTGGTCGAGATAGCTTGCATACCTATCGAAGTTTCAATTCCTGCATGATGAGAATTGCACCTCGGCTTAAGTTGGAGTTTACCACCTTCAGCTGCGGGGCCTAAAGGAGGGCTTCATTTCCCCTATTTTAGTTTCTCGAATTCAGGCAGTTTCTCAAGCTTTCAATCGATAAAGGGGTATCTATGATTTTTCTCATCTTGAATAATTTCTACGATTTTAGGTTGCGGACCTTTCAGGTGCACTTTTCCTATTTACAGTGTTTTTGTTCCATTAAATATATCATTACAGAGGTGGAATTAGATGAAGAAGGAAATATTATCGAAAGGATTGATGGCGAGGAAAGCGGGTTTGAGGATGATAGTGAAGATGAGGATTACAAGCCTGGTTCCAAGTCAAAAGCAAAGCCGAAACCTACTCCAACTGCTGGTCAGTCAAGTATTGATTTCTGAATGGTTTTTCGAGCGCTCCCTCTTACTCACTCTACCTTTCCTTGAAGTTTACCATTGACGGTAGCTTCGTGTATATCCACAACTGTTCCAATTGCAGCACGTGGGCGTGGACGAGGCGGCAGCACCGGTGCCACATCTCGTGGAGGTGGTAGCGCTAAGAGAGGGCGGGGTAAATAGTGATCTCCAGGTGCTTTAGAATTGCATTATTGTCATAATTCTTCACTTCACTATGTAAATGAACGATAGTTGGTGTTTTAGTAATTGTGTTGGGAACTACTGCACTACGATAACCCATGAAGTAAAATAAGTAAAATTGACAGAAAGATTATTTTCGCTGAAGGTTCTCCCATAGTCTATCAATGACCACTGTGGAAGAAGTTTCACCAAAAATAAATTTCTTGTCACACTTCACCAGTGTGGTGTTAAAACTGGTGCAATAGTTTTTTTTTTGCTGTAAATTACGCTTAACCGAGTGAGAATGGCACTTTCACTCAATTCATTGATGCGTGTGTCTTTTATGTTTGCACCACCTTCCTTACGTTTTAAGCACTACTTTTGTATTGAGAATTGCACTACTCGGTTTTCCCCAGTCGTTAAGTGTAGCGATCGAACATGTTTTGTTTTGATCTCGAGTTTGAATGCGAGTACAGGAATAAATCCTTGCCTTACCCTTTCGTTGCGCTTAACAGCTGCAAATCTTGGTGAAATTTGGGGTAATAATTTTCACTATTTGGAACTACTTTTCCGTCCACATAAATATTTCTATCCCCAAAAAGGTTCCTATGATTAAAATAGGCGATATCCCAAAATTTCCGTGAAATCCCTAAGATTCCATCGTACCTCCGAAAAAAAGCCTTAAATCTTTACCAAAATTTCATTAACTCTAATTAATTATCTTCATTCCTATCCCGCAAAGAGTGAGTTTGCTCATCCTACCGAGCAAAACTCCCTACTATACACAGAGCAAATTATGGTCCCATTCCACGTCGAGGAGTCCGCCGGTTGGTTAAAAGCAAGCCTCGGGATAAAATGGGTTCGGAAGAGGCTTCGGTAATGAAGCTGGAGATGAGAGTAGTCTGGAAAAGAAAAAGAAAGCAAGAGCTCTGTTCCAGTCACATTTCTCACTGAGACGGATCCTTGAGATAGAGAAACGGAGACGAGTTCCACGGATCCAGCTGCTCCACAGCCAATGACATTGAACCGCAATGCAATCACTGCCGCAACTGCGCCCGCGCTTTTGCAGCGTCACGTGGCAAGCCGACAGCGGGAGGCGGGGCTTGCGGACAAAGGTGTGGATTGCGGGTCGAGCGAGCTTTTAGCCTTTGTCGCGCATTTTCAAGCCGCAATAGGGGCGCGACATCAGCGCTTGCCCTGGGGTGTGAGCTTGCCTAGTCCGAACGTGCCTTTGTGGGTGGAAGTTACGATGTTCTGATGCAGCGCTTTAGAAACCAAGAGGAGGTGGTCAGTGGTGCACGGATGAGGAAAAACCAGGAGAATTGGAAAAGAACCGGAGAAATGGGACTCTTCTTGCCCGTTGATTTCCGCATTGATGCGACTCTCATCGGTGCTGCCCTCTTCAACGCTAACGCTCCCTCTCTCTCTGCTAAAAAGCTAGAGCCAGACGGCAAGTGGTCATCCATCGGTGGGCGTGCAACGACGCGAGCGGCGCGGTTACGGCCCTGCTAGGCTGCTGGGGCTATAGCCTTCGCTAGCGAAACGAGCGTTGTCATGCTCAGAGGGTCCGTCTGCCTTTCAACCAGATATAAAAGGAAGTAGGTCTTTCCTTGACCTCCGCGGTCCTCGACATAAGATCCTCTATTAACCACGTCGTTCTTGACTCTCTCGGAAACATTTTTTCTCACGTTCATCACCTTTGCACCTCGAAACCGACGGTTCGGCACACTCATCCTCAATCTACCGAACGTTTCGCCTACGGTTGCACGCAGCTGTTTTGTCGTGGTGGTTTCATGAAAATAGTTGTTTTGCTGGAGGGAAGGAGCCGGCACGGCCCGCGCCGCCATTTGGCATATTTGATGCTGTAATCCATAGCATTTTCTCGATATCCTAGAGTGCATCCGTGATCTCACCGAATAGCCAGTAGTGAGCCACATGTGCTTCTTCCCGGACTCTTAAGGTAATGGAGACCACCACTCTCCTTGCAGTCAGCTGTGGAATTTTTTGATTGCGTAGAGCTACAGGTACGGTCTATCACTGAAAGAAGTTTGATTTATCTACCTTTTTTCGCGCATTACATCTTCTCTGCAATTTTATCGCTTCCTCATAGACGCAACTTTACTGTCTCAAGCTTTGATGTCTGATGTGTCGAGCGCCTTACCTTGATCAATCTCTTGGGATGCGCTCCGCACCCCGCTATCCATTAGAAATGGTGGTGGTATTGATGTGTTTGGGCCTATCAATGTGTTAGTAAGCGTGCGGGGGCGAGTCGATGTTACATGTCAAGTCGATTCTCATCATACAGGCGGGTTGGTGCCAATCAACCAACCTTTGTAGTAATTGGAAGATGTGTAGCTGTTCTGATGTAGAACATCCAGTGCAATCTTTAAGATTCCATACTCCACCTTGCAATTCTCATCATTTTCCGCGTCGTAGAGGCCCAGTAGAGCTGTCGTCTGTTTGCTCCAGAAGTCCTCAGGAATGAACGACCGGCTTGAGAGCATTATCGACTGATTAATGGATAAGACCAAGATCGGAGTGGAACGTCTGACATAGTTCTGCCACGGACCTGGGAACTCTTTACGCCAAAGATACCTTGAAATTTCTAAGCAGACAGGAATAGCATACAGTTAGGCTTATCCGCTGTGATCTTAGGACGAAGATATCTAGAGTTTGGCGCAGGCACAGGCGATGAGGAATCCGGTGTTCACCATTTCATCAACGATCAAGGATCAGAAACCCGCATTTTTTAAAGGCACAACCCAGGCAGAGGTCGTGTGAACTCTTCTCTTCGGTCAGAAGTATAGAACCCTAGGGGACAATCACAAATGTGGCGTTCACGTGCACGGAATTCGACCGACAAGAACGCTTTGGGCTTGCAAAGTAAGCTGCTCGAGCTGCAGCGAACGAGCTCTCTTATCAGGCCGTTGTCTGGTGCTCTCTCATCTGATGCGCTCTCTCGCCCCATACTCTCCTCTTCGCGCTTAGTCTCTCGTTCCTTTAGCACAGCCAATTAGGAAGGTGAGTGAGCCCTCAACCTGAGCGTTTTCGACGGATTCTTTTCCTTTTTTCTTCACTGCCGGCCCACTTGGCACCGATACATTCACATTCGTGTGCAAGAGCCACACCAGTGCGATCCTGGGGCATGCCTTTAAGGATTCAAAATCAATGTAGCACCCAACACATAATCGTATAAATTAATTGATCATCCGACAGCTGGTGTGACCAACTGGATCATGCGATGATCAGACAAGTATGCAAGGATAGTTGAAATTAAAGAACGTTGATTACAGCTCGAATGGTTCAAGAGTGCAGACTATCAAGAATATTCGAATTACTCTACTTCCGACCCTCGAAGGAGTCATGGTCGCTGTCTAGCAATCCTAATATCGGGTAATATCGCGCTTCGGGGCAATAGAAAATCCTCTGGCCAAGCAGGCACGCAAAATCGCAACCATGGTCAGTCCAGTACCAGGAAGTACATGTGCTGCATCTTCTAAGTTGATGCCAAGACGTGATCTCTGAGAGTGTTATCTTCTCGCCATTCTCACAATGTCTTTCTGTTCGAGATGAATCTAATGTCGGCCATTAATCTCTTTTACGAAACATTCATCCCGAGATGCGCTTGCCTGATAAAGCTTAGATATTCGTAATGCTATTGATCACAGTCCTGATAGAACCTCTAAGGTCTGCGTCTCACAAGTGCAACAGCTTTAGCCGAGCTTTCTTGAATTTCGTCCTTTCATCGTTCATTCCTTTTGCTTCATAATTTCTCATAGCTATTCCGAGTGATAATGTCTCGTCAGGATTGACCATGAGATAAGGGTGTCAACGCCAAGTTTATTCGGTGTTGTAACAGTTATCACATGAAATGGAGGTGCTAAAAATAGTGACAGGCCAGTATAAGCTGTGCAGTCTCCTCTCCTTCATATCACTAGATAGATAGTTGCGGATCGTGTACGGGAAACCCATTCGTACGATAAAGGCACAACCCAGGCAGAGGTCGTGTGAACGCTTCCCTTCGGTCTGTATAGAACCCTAGAGGACAATCACAAATGTGGCGTTCCCGTGCACGGAAACCAACCGACAAGAGCGCTTGGGCCTTGCAAAGTAAGCTGCTGAAGCTGCAGATTTTTTTCTCTTATCAGGCTGTTGTCTGGCGCTCCATCTGTGCGTCTGCAA